CTAAAGATTTTTCCCATTTTAAAGATCAGATTGTTAGTCTTCTTGTCGTTGAGTTGTAAGAGTTCTTCATGTAGTCTAGGAGCAAGTTCTTAGTCAGACGTATGTTTTGCCATAGTTTCTCCCAGTCTGTGACTTAGCTTTTTGTTTTCATGACAATATCTTTTTAAAAACAAAAGCTTTTAATTTTGAAGAATCCAATTTATCATTATTTTTATTTCAGAGCTTTCATGGTTCTTTAAGAAATTTGTGCCATATCCAAGATCCCTAACCTTTTCTTCTATGACTTCTTTGGAAGTGTCATAGTTAGTATACATTGTCTTGGTAGTAGCTTTACTAATAATCCTTTACTGTTCTCGGATTTCTCATTTCTGCATTTCTGATGATGACACGAATCACTTTGGCTTTCATCTTCTTTTCTACACAGATACAAATGGACACAGGAGGCTAATGGATGAAAATATATGAAATCAAGATTGTGCTAGAAATTCAGGTTGTATGATTACACAAAATATATGCCCCATGTCCCACCCCATAATGTAGGAATGGTTTAGAGGAAAATACAAAAAGAGTAATAACTTATTGAATAAGTACCAAGCCAAATGCTGTGTTGAGAACTTTATATTTAAGGTTTAAAATGTATTGTTGTATACTAAAAATGACTTTATATAAATTGTCCTAACATTATCTCTCTCTCTCTTTTTTTTTTTTTTTTTTTTTTTTTAGTACAGATGAGAATATTGTACCATAAGGAAGTTAAAAAATTTGCTCAGATTAACTGGTCAGGTCTGTACAATACTAAAGCCTGCCTGCCTACCTGCCTTCCTTCCTTTCTTCATTTATTTATTTTGAGGTCTGGGGAGCAAACCTAGGAGTGCTCTACCACTGAGATATAACCCAGTTTTATTTTTTTATTTATTTGAAATAGGGTCTCACTCTGTTGCTTAGGTTGGCCTTGAACTTGCAACCTTCCTGCCTTAATCTCTTTTTTTGGGGGGGAGGAGTGTACCAGGGATTGAACTAAGAGTCACTCAACCACTGAGCCACATGCCCAGCCCTATTTTGTATTTTATTTAGAGACAAGGTCTCACTGAGTTGCTTAGCGCCTCACTGTGGCTGAGATTGCCTAGCGCCTCACTGTGGCTGAGATTGCCTTTGAACTTGTGATCCTCCTATCTCAGCCTCCTGACCCAGCCCAGCCTGCCTTAGCCTCTTGATGAGCTTGGGTTACATGTATGACCCTTGCCTGGCTATGAGAGGAACATTTTAAATTGTAGCCTTCCTCATATGCCACCAATGAGTGTGCTGGGAGTATATAGTGTAAAGAGATTTAATGTGGGTGGGGGTGTCCCAACTTTTTGACTTAATTTTGTATTTAGGTAAGTTTCTTAACTTCATTTATTCTGTAAAAAATGAGGACAAGATCATTTTTAGAGGGGTTGTGATGGCTTAAGTAATTTCACTTATGTAAATAATAACAATAATATCTAGCATTTATTAAATGTCTACTCTGTGGTAAATACTTATAAAACCATCTTATGAGTTAACTCATAATTAACATTAACTGCTGTCAAAAAAGTAAACTGAGGCACAATAAAATTTTTAAAGAATTTGAGTAAGAAGCAGTTCAAGAATTGGCGAACACTAGACCAAAAGAGGCTTAGTTTTCCAATAATAAAAATGTGAGGGTTAAGTATTTACTGGGAAAATGAAGAAGCAAAATAAAGAAATTATTTGATTGTTTTGCAATTTCAAAAATGCCCTTTTAAGGTATTTTGTTGGAAAGCCCCCAATCACATAATCGTAGGTTAATTGACTGTTTATGATTGACTGGGGTTAAGTTTTATTTCTGCCAATATAAATATTTATTTGAAACATTAAGTTCCGCTTATATTTACAGTTATGACTCAAGGTAGGTTTCACCTGTGTTTGCAATTGAAGCCAGATTAAGGCTATTTTTAAGGTCTAGTTGGTTTGGTTTACTTGGAAAGTTTGCTTTAACTGCACAGGATGAACTATAGATACTATTATTATCATTGTCACCATTTTTTTTTTAAATTAGTGTTTTTTTTTTTAAACAGATACAACTTTTTATATTTTTATTTTATTTATTCATTTTTATGTGGTGGTGAGGATCGAACCCAGTGCCTCACACATGCTAGGCAAATGCTCTATCACTAAGCCCCAGCCCCAGCCCCATCGTCACCATTTTGCAGAGGAGAAAATGAAGCCCAGAGGGGAAAAAAGATATTTGTCCATGGTGATACAGCAGAAAACAGAGATGCTGAGCATGAGCCCAGGCAGCCTGGCTCCCCCAGCCTGTGCTCCTAAGTCAGTGCCGCCTGTCATTGACTGAACTTGCATGAGTGTTTCTTTGGCACGCCCACTGATCCCCCCACCCTTTTCTTTTTCTTTTTCTTTCTTTCTTTTCTTTTTTTTTTTTTTTTTAAGCAGGAAGTGTCTTTTCTAACCTGTTCTTTGGGAACTAGTGAGCTAAATCCTGGACAACTAAGAGAGTGCTTACCCGGGTCTGCACTGGTTGCTCTAGGTTCCAGTTTTGATGCTGGTCATCTTTGGGACCTTGGGCAAGGACATTTCACCTCCCTAAGTCCCACCTTTCTCCTGAATGAAATGTCCTGGGTACTAGTTAATTTCCAAGCCCTTTCCAGCTTTCACATTCCTCACGTCTGTGATTCTGTGATTAAGTTCCTGCAAGGTTTAAGTGCTGATAAAAGTGCCATTAAGTTCTGTATACTCAGCGGTGGCAGCCCTCTGTTACCTAAGATACCTGGCCTAGCAGTTACCTGCAGGGGCTGGGGCAGTGGGGGTGGACAGGAAAGGCTCCTTGTCTATCAGTGCTGTGCTGTACCTCAATGGAGGGAGGCCTGCCAGCACTATGCAGGGTAACTGACTTTCATCTAATTTCCGGGATGTGGTATACTGGGCCTGACAAAGAAAGTTTCCCAACAAGAGAACCTTGTGCAGTAAGTTCCTCAGGCAAGTGAGTGGAGATAATTGAGACAGGACTGAATGAGGTTCAGGCAGAGAAACCTGGAGGACAGACCTATTTGGGTGATGAACTGGTTGACCCAAGGCCCCTCTGTCTATCATTTCTTGACCTCAGGTCAGAGTTATAGAAAGGGGGAAGGCTACCAAGGCAGCTGGGGAGGGCTTCTGCCCTGAAGTCTTGGAGAAGAATGAGCAATTGTTTGTGCCACATGGGTTAGTCATTTACCTGCCTGAAGGCTCAGGGCTGGAACTATAGTCTATGATCTGCTGGGACATACTTTGGGCCAGGGAACACAGGACCCCCATCCCCCAACAAATATGACAAGAAACTAATCAGAGAAAAAATATTCTCCTGGCCTGTGGCTCAATGGCAGAGTGCTTGCCTAGCATGTGTGAGGCACTGGGTTCGATCCTTAGCACTGAATATAAAAATAAACAAATAAAATAAAGGCATGCTGTTCATTTACAACTACAAAAAATTAATTCATTAAAATATATATTCTCCAAATGGTGGTCTAAACTTTGTTCACTGATCCAGCTCTTATTGTGTTCCAGGTACTGTTTGAGGCACCCAGGATACCTGGACAATTGAGACAGAGTTCTTGCCCTCAATGAAGTGACTGTATAGTATAAAATCCTAAAGCTGAGTCTTTATTTAAAATAAATTTTTATTTATTTCTAAAGCTGATTAGTCTTAAAGGTTATAGCAGCAGCAATGACCCCTGTCCTCTGCCTTAATGAGTGCTTCTGATACACCAAGCTCTGGTGAAGAATCCTTATCCCCTTATGGGAAAGAGTCTGAGTATTGGCTTTGCCACCCATGGTCCATAATATCTGTGGACAAGTCATTTGGAGTATATTTTTTGCATCTCAGTTTTGAAAACTGTTATAGGGGCATAATATATATAAAAGCAAAGCAGTTGGCAATTTTAATTTTTTAAAAAATGTCAATACAGGATTTATGAACAAATGCATATAAGACACCAGGCAAACAGGAGGTATTTAGTAAGTGGCAGTGGGATTATTGGTAGATTCTGTATTCCTTTGTGTTCCTCTAGGGCAAGACTGACAAGCATCTCTATCAAACTATCAAGAGTATTTGTGAATTACAAAATTCATAAAGCTAATCAGGAGAGGTGAACTCCTAGTAGGAGACATTAGTGATCCCCTTAGCCCATGGAAGAACCCAGGGTCCAAAAAATAAGCAAAGATATAGAAGACCTCAGTAATATAATGAATATAAAAAGGATCAAATTGATATAGCTTCCTATGTTCATATTCTGAAGACAGGGAAACATCTTTTCTCAAGAGGACAGGGGACATTGACAAAAACTAACCACAGAGAAATCCTAGATTAATCTTCCAAAGGAAGCAGTTCAGATGACACTGATTTCAATGCAATGAAACTAGAAATTCAAAACAAAAGGGGGCACACATAAATTATTTGTGTAAGAACTCTCTCTTAAGCAATACTTGTGGCAAAAGGAAATCCAAAGGTTACTGTATGTCAATATATGTTCTATTAACCAGATGTCACAGCTAAAAGCTACAGAGGTTTATTCAAAAATCTGAGTCTCCTGAGTCATGAAGACACGGAATGGCTTCAGAGCCTGGGCAAGACTCTCTGAGACTCGGTTTCCCCATTTTTGTCAAATGGTCTTGAGGATCCCTGGCGTCCTGGTCCACCGGCGGGGTTGAGCCCTGAGGGGGAGGGGAGGGTGGTCGTGAGGGAGGCGCGGCTGGAATCTCCACTTTCTGGGAAGTCAGGGAGGGTGCGGGTGTTAAGAGGTGGCAGCAGAGGGCGCTGAGCGGTCGCTGGCCGGAGCCCGCGTCTGCCATTGGTCGGGGCTGGGGCGCTGGGCTGGAGAGTTGGTGGAAAGTGACAAGTTGAGCGAGAGAGGGAGCGCGGAGAGCGGGAGGAGCCGCCACAGCCTCCACCGAGGGGGCTCCGGGACGGCCGCCCCGGGCACAGGGTACGCTCTTCTCGAGTCTGAGCGGAGGAGATTTGGCTGTCGGCGATAGTGATCCGGACAGCTCAGGACTGAGCGGCTGGCCGAGGCGAGGCTGAAGCCGGAGGACTGGAGAGGGATCGCGCTCACGGGGTCCGCAGACTGCCCGGCGGAGGCGAGAGAGCAGGTTAGAGGGACAAAGAGCTTTGCAAACGCCCCAGGCATCCTGCGATCGCTAGCGGCCCGGACGAGGTGGCCGGGAGCCCGGGGAGAGCCCGTGGATGTTCTGCGCGCCACCGGAGAGCCGCCGCCGCCGCCGCCGCGAAAGGAGGAATGCACCGGCTTCGTCGCCGCGGGACGCGCCAGCCGCTGCTGCCGCTGCTGGCCGCGCTGCTGCTGGCCGCGCGCTGGGCTGCTGCGCAAGGTAAGAAACGCCCGCTCCGGCCCCAGCGCCCCTCAGTCCACCAGCAGCGCCCTGGGCACTCGGCAAGCACCGCGCCCTCCTCTGGGGAGGCGGCCGACTACTCGCCCGGTATCTTGCCAGCGCGCCTCGGGCCGCGGGGGAGTCAGGCGATGATTGGCCCTGGAGCCCAGCAGCGGGTCCGGGTGCGCCCGGGGATTTGTTCCTTTGCACCGTGCATCGGTTGTCAGCACTGACAGGAAGCGTAGAGGACTTTGAGGATCGTGGGGTGATCGGGGCACTTCCGCGCTGGTCGTCTTCCCATCTCTTCCTGGACTCTTAGAGCACCCTAACTGACGTTCAGTAATCTATCCTGCGGTCCAGGATGGGTTTGCATTTTCAGAGGTGCCTGCGAGAGAGCCCAGGCGGTCCGCGAACCGGCGCAAACAAAAGCCCTGTGCTGCTGGGGTTCCCGCGGCCTTGCATCTCCACCGCCCCGGCCCTCTGGCCCTCCTGAGGGTCACCATGGAGGCCGAAACGTGTACGCTGCTGCCGCCGCTGCCACTTTGTGCAAAATGTGCTGTCAGAGGAGACCTGAGGCTCCAAAGTGCTCTGGGTGTGCGTGTGTGTGTGTGTGCGTGCGTGTGTGTGTGTGTGTGTTACAATCGAGGGGGGAAAAGCCATCTAATGCATACTTGATTTTGGTAATCTCCAAAGACAATCGCAACAGTTAGAGAAAGACTCCACCGCCAGCCGGAGCGTCTTAGTTCGCTGCGGGAAGCTGGGATCCTTGCTGTGTTTGAGCCGGTACACAATGAGAGGGAAGAGCCTGGCTGCGCCTGTGGAGACAACCGATTCATTCTTTGGAGGTTGGAGGGGGAAAGTTGATTAAAGTCTCCGGGGTCTTGGGCCTCACTTTTAACATGCATCCCTTGAGGAGGTGGTGCTGAAGCCCTCGGGTTCTTCCCTCCCCCACTCCCAGCCCCAAACCTGTGCGGATCACTAGGTCCCTGCTCCTTTATCTTGCATCTTTCATTTTTTAAGTGAGCGCTGTGTTTAGGTAAAGAAAAGGCAATGCCTTACTTAGCAGTTAAGGGGAAAAAGATCCAGTCACTACTTAGACTGTAACCGCACAATTAGTTTGTACTAAAACTTAGCTAATAATGTTCTTGTTAGAAAGAACTCTGGAGGGAAGTTTTGTGTGGATTCTGATTTCTTAGAGATGATTTTGGGAAGAGGGAGCAGCGTTCACAGAGAAGGATTCTGAAACTGATCCTGTAGTGTGGTTGTACTAATCTGGAAGCTCCTCAGGGTAAATACAGCCCCTAATTGTAATGAAGATGTACATCAGCGGGGAGTGCTTCTTACTGATGGAAAATCCTAATGAAATGTAAACAGTTTGGTCACATGGATGTTTTGCTTGGTGATGCCAAACATCTGGCTCTGTGCCACAACACCTGGGTGAAAAGTAGAAAATGGGCCTCGGCTGCCAACACAACCTAAACATCCTTCTGAAGTCCAGTTGCCCAGCAAATAGAGGCAGAGATAACCAGGGGGGTTTCTATCTAAGGTAGAACTCCTGGCTTGGGGCCTTGGTTAATTTGGTTATTTCCTCTGTGGACTTCTTTGCTTTGTACTTAACCTTTTAGCAGTGATTACTTTTAGATGATAGCCCCTGGCAGGAGGCAGGAAGAGGAGGAGGGAGGATTTCACCTTTTTTGGTAATCTACCTTTAAATAAATGTCTGTGCAATGATTTTGTTGAGTGTAAGACAATTTTGTTTCTGGCAGCCACTCAAATTTTGTCTTCTTTTACTGTTTATAGGGCCTAAAATTTTTTTAAAAAGAGAAGTACTGCCTCTTTCATACTCTGCAGTAATGAGCTCAAACCTGTTATTATTGTCTTGTAAGTTTCTTTCCATTTCTATGAAGGTTTGCTCTTTTCTGTGGGGACAGGACTTCTAGTGGACCTCCGACTTGCTTTCATCTGAGGTTCCTAAGGTAACTAAGGTAACTCAGGAAATCAGCTCAAGGGGATATAAGTTTCACTTATTAATTTTAAAAAATGCTCAGCATTTCTCCCATCACTTTTCTATTTTCTATTTTATTGGCCAGGAGAAGAAATGTTTCGATGTAATGTTTCTGGCACACTCATTGTTGCTTTCCCCATGTGTCCCTGCGCAAAGCTCAGCTTCTGTAGGAAGCTGAAGTCCCATCTCTGCTCCCAGAGCTCAAGGCTTCAGGAACCTGTTAGAGTTTTTCTCAGAGTCCTGTTGATTCTGTGGTTTGGCTGCCTGAAGCCACAGGGAGGTGTGTTTGCTGTCATTTTGTAAGCCTTCCTTTGCCATTTGAATAGGTGTCTGTCCTGTCTACTTTTAGAATAGGAGTCTCCTGAGGGCAATAAGACTGTCAGCTTTGCTGGTGAAGGCACTGAGGGCCCAAGGCAGCAAGCTTCCTCTTTATTTGAGATGCTCCCAAATCCTACCTGACTGGCTAGGGGGAGCCACGCAGAGGCAGGATAAAGCGTGTGTGTAGTCAAGCTATCTCTGGCAGTATTTTAGAAACATTTAATTTCCAATTTAATATCAATACCTGGTAGGCTGTTTTGCTACCCTGATGCCTGGAATTAAATATCTGCCTGATATTTAATTAGGAGACCTTTAAAAAAGTCAACTTTGTTCTGCCCTTCCTCCATCCTCTGCATGGTGAATATAGGCTACAAGTCAGACTTCTGAAGTTTCTGAATATGTTACTTGCATCCAGATTAGCATCAGATTTGGCCATGGTTTGATGATGAACACCTACCCCCACTTGAAATATTTTGAAAATTTCACACAGTATTTAATGGACAACCACATGCTTTGTAGACCATATGTATATTGATGTTAGTGTTTATCTACATAACATGGCATATATAGAGAGAGGGGCACAGTGGAGAAAGTGGTTCCTAAATTTTTGTTGAATGAACAGAGAATAACTATTTTGGTTGGATTTAAACTTCTGCTATGATTTGCTTTGTGTGTGTGTGTGTGTGTGTTTTAGTAAAAATGCAACATACCATATTTTCAAAGATTTTTTTCCTTTACTTGCCCCATTTTTTGATATGAAGGAGTTTAGTGGAACTTGACAGTATAGCTTAATGGCTACCAGCACAAACTGACCTGGGTTTAAATCTTTTTTTTTCCATACGGTGCATACGTTGATTAGTCTCTTTGAGCCTCATAGGAGTGTTTTTATTTATTTATTTATTTTGGTAGCTGTACATAATGAATTTATTTTATTTATTTATATGTGGTACTGAGGATCGAACCCAGGGCCTTGCACATGGTAGGCGAGTACTCTACCGCTGAGCCATAACCTCCAGCCCCCTCTTAAAAGTGTTTTGAGATTTAAGTAAAACCATACATGTCAAGTACTGGGGAAGAGCACTAGCCTAGAGGTGCGGTATGTGAAATTGAGGATATATGAACCCCCAGAAATGATAATTCCTGTTCATTTTTATGGTTATATGTTTATTGGTATAATCAGACTTTCCAAGAAAACTGTTAAAGATAGGCCCACTGCAGTTCGTGATGCTGGGGCAGACACTGGCTGCCTGGATAGGTTGAAAGGGACTGAGTGTTGGCTATAGGATTTGGGTTTAGCTCAGATCAGCCACTCCATGGAGGCTCTGCCTCTCATTTCCTCTCACTTCCCACTTTTGCTCTCTCCAGGTGGGCTGTTCAATGGGCCTGGAAGAAGTTGATGAACGGTGCCAAGTCCCTGTAACTAAGACTGCATGTCCCAAGTACTCTGAGATGCCCCTGTTTTGCAATTTATTTAACAGTTAATATAATCATTACAGTGGATCAGTAACTATTCTAAGCCTTTTACCAGTATTAACTCACTGAATCTTTACAACACCACCATAAGAGAGATGGCATAACCAGATCATTTTAAAGACAGGTGAATATAAGTGCAGAGAGGTTGAGTTATTTTCTTAAAGTCACACAGCCAGGATGTGGCTTATTGGGCTTCTTACAAGCCCTAGTAGTTGATGTATTTATTTTAACTAACTACTGTCATAGACAATCCCTCTTAGCTTAATTCTTACAGTTTATATTCTTTTAATGTACAGACTAGTGGTTTCCCCATGTTTTCCAAGGGAACTCTAGGCAAGTTTTTCTTTCCCGTCACCTGGAGTACATAAGAAATGATTTGGAGACAGCCTATTCCAATTTTCCTTCCAATGCTGGCCTTCTCTTAGTCTGTCTTGCTGTAACTCTGAGATACATTAGAAGCGCCTGTGATAGCCTGGGCTTCTGGATCTGGAAGAATTACATTTTTGTAATGAACTGCAACTTTTGATGCGGTTTGAGGAGTGTGTCTGGCAGTTCCTTCCAGCTAGTGATGAGCTATATTTTGATGAAGTGCTTTTGTATTTGCATCTTGGTATATAACTTGGGTGTGGGGGGGACGTTGATTTATAGGAGTGCTCTCTGGAGGGAGAGCCGATTGCCAGCTCAGAGTTCCAGTGAGCACCAGATCCTGGCAGATCCAGCTCCAACTGGGAAGCACTCAAATCTTGGGGGCCTCTTTTTCAAACAGAAGGGCCTCGGCTGTGACAGGAGAGACTGTTCTGTGGACACACGAAGAGAAAGGAATAGTCTTCTAGGAGTCTGAGAAAATTCTCTGGAGTTGGAAGGGGAGGGGAGGGGGGAACTCTTCGAAAACCCTTAACTAAATGCAGCTGCTTGTTACACGGGGCCTGACTTGCATGCCAGGAATATCTAAAAAGCTAACGAATACAAAATAAAAATAAACAGCAGTAAAAAGGCTCTCTCTTTGTTGCAGTAAGCTCAGTTGGGGTTTTCAGTGTGTTTAGGAATGGGATAATTGTGGCATCCACTTTATTTTGGTAAGGCAGAGAAATGCGCATTGATGTTCTGTCCCTGGGATGCCCCAACACCTGAACCTCCCCCCCCCCCCAACACACACCCCCATGTCAGAACTTGGACATTCACAGAGCCTGAGGCTCCAACTGTT